CACAAATTTCAGTGAAATTTTATGGGTGCGGCCCGCAGGCATCTGCAGGGTAAGGAATGCGGCCCACCGACCGATTTGAGTTTGACACCCCTGGTGTAGAAGGCTGGCACAATCGTCTATCCAATCTGATAGACAAGAGGGCTAATCTGGATTTGGTGAACTTGTGGAAATTCTCAGGTGGGAAGAGGTTAGGGTGAAGGTTTCCCAGTACCAGGCAGGACAAGTAAAAATTAAAGATAGAAAGACCGTGGAGAAGGAGATGCAATTGTCTGACGCTTTAGAGAAGTTGGAGATTCAAAATGTTGGGGAATACTTGGAGAAAGTTATAGAGATTATGTACTGTTTGTTTGCCTTTGAATTTGCCAGGGATGCCTATGCCCAGTCCCAGCTGTTGTGAATGACTTTCTTGTTTTTTGGGGGAATCTTTCAGAGAGTAAATGACATTACTCTAGTGATATAAGTGGGGCTTGAATGCATATTGGAAGTGTGAGAGGGAATGGAGAGAATGAGTTTCACTCCTTACTTCTGGAATCCCCCAGTAACTAATTTGTCCCCAAGGTGAACTGTATATTTAATTATCATAAGAGCAAAATCCCCAATCATACAAGGACAAACACTTACCATATCTGGAGCTTGATCTTCTTCCCTTTCAGTTTGCCCCCCCCCCCCCCCCCCCCCCCCTTCCTTTCCTCCCTCTCCCCCTCCCCTCCAGGCACGTCTGCATCAAATGCGACACCGTTTCCCCTCTCTCCAAATCAGGTTGAGGTTTTTCTTTTCTCGGCTTGTTGGGAAAAAAAACGGTGCCGCAATTGTCGCCCAATCAATAAACCTCCCAATATGCCTGTCAGGTCATCACTCAGTGTTGTCGCTACAGCATAGTGTAAGACACCACCCCACAAGGAAGGTCACACCTCACACCCGAAGAACTGTGGTAGGTCACAGGCTATATAGGTCATATGGAATAGTTCTTCAATTGGACAATGTAGTCTTTTTTTTCTGAAGAGAAAGATCCCTGTATGATAAATGATGTATACTTTTCCAGGCATTGATTTCAAGATAAAGACTGTTGAACTGAAAGGGAAGAAGATCAAGCTCCAGATATGGTAAGTGTTTGTCCTTGTATGATTGGGGATTTTGCTCTTATGATAATTAAATATACAGTTCACCTTGGGGACAAATTAGTTACTGGTGGATTCAACTTACCCTGGGAGTGGGTTATTTAGGGGTCTTAAATGTTGAGCTGGTACTAATGGCTGTGCTAAAAAGTACTTTCATATAAGTTCTGAAACAAAGTAACAAATAAAGGAGGCATTTTCATAAATTTCCCAGAACCAGGGTGTATACAGAGTGGTTTTAAAGTTTGGATGAATTTCATTTTTTTCTTATGCTTGTATTTGATAGCCAAAGACAGGTGAATACAGAAGTCCTGAGGGGGCCCTTTGTATGCACATTCAAATGGGGCTGAGGGTATTTTTCTAGCTTTGAAGTTAGCATCATAAGTAGTACTTTAGAGGCATTTGAGTCAGGGATTGAATTGGTGAGAACTTTCTGTTTCATGTATCCATTACTTGGCTAAGGTGGAAAGTGTGGATGTTGTGAAGAGTTTTAGCTGCTTGCAAGACGAAACTCTAAGTTTCATCTGGGCTTTTCCTTTATCTTACTACAGTTGCTTTCAAATATATATAATATAATGTGAATATGATGGGCTATGAGGCATGAGAGGCTTAAGGCCCACGAATGTTGTGCCTGCTCTGATATCATAGCTAGCCCTCCACCTCCACCCCCCATCTAAACCCTTCATCCTGAGTTGTGTAAAAACCTAGTAATCCCTAACTTTGGGAGACTCAATTTGACCCAAATGGATATTCTTTTGGTATGCTACCTGGGTTCAGCCTTCACCACTGAAAGTAATTCTTCCCAATGCCCACTGACCATAAAGCAGTGGGTAAATGTGTTCTCTGGAAGAAATGCTGATGTTTGCAAGGAGAAAATGCATACAAGATGAGTTGATTGAAATACCATAATTTGAAATTAGCAGTCAAACAATGGTGTGCACAAAATACCTAATTATGTGAACCATAGAAAAATTTTATGATCATAAAAAGTACATCTTAATTTTCATCACACTTATCCTGTATATCTTTATATGCAGTTGACTCCACATATTGGAATACTCATGGGACCAGCAAACTTTATTCTGTAATTAGAATATTCCAATAACTGAAACTATATACTGTATCCTACCATAAATTGGGATCATGTAATGGTATTCTATTATGTGGAGTCGACTGTATTACATTTTAATTTCATTTGGCAGTTATTTGTGATCATGACCATTTTGCTCTGTCAGAAGCCACTTCACCCTGCCATCAACCAGGCTTCAACTGCCATTGAGATAGGGATTCTTTCATTGCATGCAAGACTTGGTCTAGGTCCATGATGGTAAAGAATTTTTGATGCACTCAAAAAATAACAATGTAAACCTAATTTCATTCATTTGAATTTAATCCAGTGAAGGAGTTTTGAACTATATTACTACCTGAAAATATGCCAGAAGTCTGTAAAAGGTTATCAAACATTACCTGCTGAAAGGTGAATTAAGATCTCTTTCTGTTCTGGGAAGCTTTACAAAGAAGTAAGCCCACATATCATGTGAAGAGTTATTGGTCAAAATTAATCTCCCCTTTCTTCTCTTAAATGCAGGGATACAGCTGGACAGGAGAGGTTTCACACCATCACCACTTCATACTATCGAGGAGCCATGGGAATTATGCTAGTCTATGACATTTCTAATCCTAAGTCATTTGATAACATTGCCAAGTGGCTTAGAAACATAGATGAGGTGAGTCTCTTTCTTTCCATTTAATTTTAATGCAATGAAGAGACTGGATATTCTGTCAAAGCATATCCAATCTCAAGGCAAAGAACATCTGCTAGCTCTTTCAAAGATAGATAGTAAGATAGACATTTTGACTTCATAATCATCCAACTTTGTTGTTGGAATTATTTAACTGGATTCTGTGTGTACTATTCCCAGTCTTGAGAACTTCCTGCATGGGGCAATTCCTTGAAAGCAAATATCTTTTGGGCTTGAGGCATCAATATATACCTTTCCAAATAAAATAAACCTGAGCAGTGCAGGCAAGGAAAGGAGAAGGCATTTGTCTAAACAGATCCCAAATCCTAAAGCCGTCTGGCCCTTCTTGCCTCCCATCTAACACATCCCTATGTCCCAGTCTCATTCCCCTTCTTGCTAGAACACAAATTTGAACAGGACAGCCCTATGTAGCTCTGCCTCAAAACTATTAAACTATTTTATTGGCCTTTATTCCCCTTTCCCTGCTGAGGATATCCCACTGCTCAGGTTTTTTTTTTTAGGAATGGTGTAATATCCCTTTCATGATAGGACTCAAGTGTGCTGACATAGATCAAGCAAATCTGAATCTGGACAATTTGTCCTTCAGGTATGACTTGTCCCATTTGTGATTGACCTACTTCAGTCTCCTCAAGCTAGTTGCTACAAGTGTATTGTTCCTTGCATGGAGGGCTTTTCATATGCTGGTCAATATCGCTATTGGTTTGATTCCACTCCATTAGTACATTTCTCTTGTATGTTCACCCAGTGACCACACTTGCAAATAGCAATGAATTTATTCTCTCACTTCTAATGCAAGTACTTTTAGTATATATACAAGTTTATTTATTCCTGTATACTGTTTCAGCATGCAAATGAAGATGTTGAGAAAATGATCCTGGGAAACAAGTGTGACATGGATGATAAGCGAATGGTTGCTCGAGAAAGGGGAGAAGCTGTGAGTTTCTGTTTCTGCTTATTCTGATATTAATTCCAAGGGTAAATCTCTTGCTTGATTCAAATCTGTATGTTAAATCCCAAACCACCCATCAGGGAATAGAATTTGAAACATGGGTTCAAGAAAGAATCATGTAGAAGATCCTCAACTGGAATCTCTCACAGCAAGTCAAGTAAAAACTTTAAAAAATGTATCTCTTCTTCCTTCTGAATATATGAGCAAAGGACAAGGAGTCATATCTTTGCTTCAATGTGTTGAAGTCAAATGTCATGGGTGTCACACAACATGGCACTAGCCCATGGGTGAAAGAATGAAAAATAAAAGATTCTAATTCTGATTTGAATCTCTTGAATCTGATACAGTTGAGTCCAATCTGATTCCAAATTACCAATGTGTAACCTAAACAATGTAGTTCTTGAATGTGATTCAAGTCAGGTCTGAGTCAAGTTACTTCATATGTAGGATTCAGTCACTCCTGCTTCTCAACAAGAATGTGATAACTGTTTTTTGCCCTCTGGGAGCATAAGGTTTTCATCATGTGGGATATATAATTAAAATTAAATTTCCTGCACAAGTTAACTCCTGGAATCTTGAACATCTCTAGAGTGATAAATGTTGTAAATGTTTCCATAAAACAAGTCCATTTAAAGATTAAATGGAGAAAGGTGTTGCTCATGTGTGCTTTCCCAGCAAGTATGAAATATGTGAGTGTTTCCCTGGGTTGTGATGCAGATTGCTCGTGAGCATGGAATCCGCTTCCTGGAAACATCTGCCAAAGCAAGTGTGAACATCGAGAAAGCCTTTCTGGATCTGGCTGAAGCTATCCTCAACAAAACCATGAATCAAGAGCAAAGTCAACCACAGGACAGGGTTCACATAACTCCACAAAGTAGAGCACCATCTAACAGATGCTGCTAGCTCTCTTGCCCTTTTTGTGTATGAGACAGCCTGGGAACCTATTCAGTCATTGAGCAAAGTGCAGTGATGGAGTCAGTCATTGAGCTAGTGCAGTGATGCTCAATGCAAGCATGAAAACGAGCAGACAGAGATGCATATCAAGGTGCTCCTGTGGTGATGAAATGCCCATGAGTGATTCTTTTTTTTTAGTCTCCTCTCTCTCTCAAAAAAAAAAAAACAGGTTATGCAGAGAGAGGATGCTTCAGTGACTGGGTACCTAAAATATCTTGCTACTCCAATTGAGGTCTCACTTTTTCTTGTAGAGAAAACTTTACTGACATGGAGGTCTTCTTCATGGTGTTCTTATAGGCTTTTTCTTTATAATGCAGTTGTGAATGGTGTTCTTGAGCTTGCAACAGTTAATGGCTCTCCTTAGATCATTCCTGATTTTGCCATTACCAGAGTGTCAGCCACTCTCAACTGATCCCAGTTTGACCAGCTGGACACAGTGAGTATGTTCATTTAATCTTCAACTAATGCAAGTCCAGCTTCTGATTCATACTGAACCAATATGTCTCCATGATTGAGAACTTCTCAGACAAACTTCTCTTGCAGGGTGGCACATGCTTGTGTTCATGGTATTAAAGATTACTTGCTGTTAAATAAGTCACACAAATTTGCATCCAAATGATACCATTCAAGATCTCTCATGGGATGGATCTGATCTGATTCTTCAGATTGTGTGAAACTGGCTGATCTATGATGAATACATTTCTCCAAAATCCAGATGAAGTGCTTCATCCTCTAATATGCAAAATCTCATCTCTGCTTTTAAAGTTGTGGCAGAGGCTTGCCACTTGTTTTCATTGTCATTCAAATGTAGCAGTGGCCAGTCAGTATTTGCTCCCAGGAAAGCTTTTGTATCACACCACCTTTTAATGTAGTCTTTTGTAAGAGCTCGCTGTGATCAGTTTCGAGTGATCACCTCTGGAAAAAGATCAGTTTGCATGACTGCAGATGGTGTTCAGCCTTCCCTGTGCCCTAGCTTGCTGTTCCTCACTTGGGCAAACACCCATGAATTATATGCATCATAAAATTGTTATTGAATGCCAATTGAATTGCCATTGTTCACACCATCTGATTTGGCAAAGAAATGGATGTCAATGGCCTTTTCATTATCTGCCATCTTTTTTTCCATGATTTTTCTGACTTATGCTTCCTCATATCCCTTTGCCTTGTGTGATTTTTCTCATGGGATTTGGGGTCAAAGAACAGTGCTTAGTTTTGACCTGGGAAAACTTCCAGGCTGTAAAGGTTTTCCTTATCTTTTTTGAATATGAGCATGTCCATAGAAATGAAGCCATAATCAGTGAGGGATGTCATGCTATGTCACTCAATCCAATCACTTTTCACTGGTCTGTACATATATTGGTATTGATTAGAATGATTCTATATTTTTCCATTGTGATATTATGAGGAAGACACCTTTTGTGTTGGAAGCTGGAAATTTGCTTTCTTCGTTTGGAAGCAGACTGTCCATATGTATAACAGAATAATAATACCTTTTGTGGGGCCACCTTGGTGCATCAAGAGTGATGTCTTGTTCATGAGTAGTCTGAATGGGTAATGGATGAACAGGACACAAACCTGCATTTTACCTCCCCTTCCAATGTTCAACACCTGACTTATGGGAACCAAACTTGATGAATTCACTTCACTGCTAAGGTATGATGATTGACAAAGTTTGGATGTATGGAATACTTCATGCTACTAGTGTTTCAGAACCATTCAGTCTCATAGGTGCCAAACCCACTGAGACAATGAGTGCATGCACCCAACAGTGCCAATAAGTCAGTTTTGAGGCTGATACATGAGTCCCAGCCTTAGGCAGGAAGATGATGTTGATTCATAGTCATGCTGAAAGCTTGAGGACAGTAACTTTTTAAACTATTCACAGTAGAACTCTGTTATAACGACGAAGAGCACCAGGTCCCAGCGTAGAGCCTATAAGGTAAGTGAAATTTTACTTCAGTTATAGCGGTTATAACAAAGGCCATTGAAGTCCCACTGATGAAATAGACAATGTTGATGCATCCAATTCATCATTCTTAACTGGAATTTCCATCATTGGAAGAGTGAGCAAAAGAATCCCTGGAATCAGCATTCCTTGAGAGTCACGTTGGTGTGACTGGAGGAGGGATAATCCCCAGTAATTAAAAAATTCATGTTATATTCAGTCGCCATTTGCATACCTTGTTGACAATATGGCCAATGAAAAGGAAAAGAGGCAAGCCTCCACAATTAGCCAGAAAGTGTGCATAATTTGTTTAATAGAAAGTGGGCAAAGTAAAGCTGACATCTTTTGTGAACATAGACTCTTCATCTGTTTCTGCAATTTGGAAATATCATGGTGGCTTCATCTGTACTTAGGAGAAGAATATGCCACAAAACAAGAAACTTCATAGATCTGCTTGAGATGACGTCAACAAATCCTTGTTAAAGAGGTTCAAGATACGAAGAAGTGTGAGCATCACAATTAGTGGGCCAATTCTTAAAAGTGAAGCTGGTGCAGGACAACCAATGTGCACCAGAGTTTATGTAGCATTTATTTTGAAAACAAGGAAACAGGATGTAAACAAAGGCAACCTTGGCTTAGCTACTATGAGCCTCAGTTATAACGAAAAATTTTCCCTGGTCCCTTCAATGACATTATAACAGAGTTGGACTGTATTTACTTATTACTTTAGCTTCTGAGTTAGCCATTTAAGTACTTTCCCCATTAGTAATTGATCAATAATATTTTTACTTTTTGGTATTACTTGACCTAACACCATATGGAGAGCACTTAGAATCCCTATCCCCTTCCCTAAGTCTGACATTTTCAAGACCAAGCTGAAGGAACCATAAATACAGCATGTGATCATCCAGGGTCAGAGCAATTCATCAAAGCTGACTTCTAATGCTAGAGTAATCTGCTTCTGAAAGATTAAATGTTGTATGTAGTTATGGCATCTTCATACTTATTTTGTCAAAATTTTGACTTGCAGCACACAGGTTCTAGGTGGGGGGGGGGGGGGTGCTCTAGCTACAATGGACATACCAAAAATAATGCCTGTTAGCTTGTGAAAAGTGAATGGTTGCTTATAGACATCTACAACTTTCTGTAACTTTTAGTTTAATAATCTGTCTTTAGTTTCAGATGTTGCTTTTGTTTGAGAGATGTTTACCTATCGAAGCTATGATTAGACATCATGGACTGATTTCCTAACCAAACAAGCCATCAGTCACTGAAATCCACCATTTCTTCCAGGCTCTGCTTAGCAAACCCAATATAGACATTGTCAATGTGCAGAGTTGGGTGAAGCGATTCAAGGATGGAGAAACTGACAAGGTACATTTTGGGTGTCTGGCCTTTGTTGTCACTGATGCAACCTTGGAGAGAGTGGATGGGATCATCTGGAACAACCACCACCTTGTTGTACGTGAATTTGGTCAGATGTGGTCATGATGCCATCCAGATTGACCAACTGCGATACTCCCAACGTATTTGAGAAGGGTTCACATCCCGACACAATGTGGGACAAGAATACTTTGCCTTTGCAAACAGTTGCTAAAACTCCTCTCAAACGTTTAAACTTAGCTTTTTAATCTCCATCGTCAGTTGCCGTTGAACCCAAATTGTACACACGTAAGTATCCCGGTTTGGCATTCATTGCATGGAATTATGACCACATCCGACTTCCAGAACAATCTCACGCACAGTCAATTGGCTGTTGTTTCAGATGATCCCCGTCCACACTCTTCGTCAGTGCCATAGCCAGAATTTTGACAATTGGAGAGGGCTCAGACTCCACTTGCTACACCTCTGCTCCCTATAATATCATATGTGACAACGGAGACCAGACATCTGTATGCTTTGTCCATTATGTCTATTTCCCCCATTGAATCGTTTCACCTACCTCCACACATTGCTAATGCCTATATTGGATTTGCCATGCTCTGCTTGGAGACGACAGTAGATTTCAGCAGCCGAGTTCCTTGTTTGAGGAGGAATACAAATGCTGCGCGCTATCTAACCACTGTATCCAGAGGTATTTAATCTCAATCAACACTAATATCTGAAAATGAGCACAAAGGATTATTGCAATGTCTACACGGTGATTTAAACATAAAAAGGCGCCCTTTAAAAAAATTTGTGCAGTTAGTGCAACATTGCAAGTAGATTGTCGCATACCAAGTGAAAGAGGACAAAGTTTGCCACTCACGGAAATTTTCATCCATACCTCTGTGGTAGCATTTTCAAAACTTGTGTTCATAGTTGTTGTCGTAGAGAAACTGTTTATCCACCCGTATCCAAGACCACACTTGTGCCCAATGCGGTTTTTTTGTCTGTTTAACACAATGTTGTGCGTTATTGGGTGCAGGTGGTTTTTTTTTTTCATCATCGCGCGTGCATAATCATTCCCTTTTTACAAGCAAACAGGCATTACTTTCTGTACGCCTCTCAATGTTGATGAATTCAAGGTTTCTTGGGTTGCCTAAATCTCTCTCTCTGGATTTATAACTTTTATTTCAACAGGAATGAAGGGGTAGTGTACGTTTTATGTTGGGACAAATATCTATGGATGGATTTTTGAACAGTACACTATCCGATAAGGCAGCTTTATTCCAGGGAAAATACATGTATTTCCTGGAAATGAAGCAACATTATCGAATAGTTCTCTGTTCAAAAATCCACCCTTTATACTTCGTATTTTGAACTATTAACGACTTGACATGGATGTTTTACATGTTGCGTTTCAGGGAAACAAGGGGGGAAATCCTTGCACTTCCACATTACTAATTTAATTTGTAGTTCATCCGTTCTTCAAAGAACCCGCTGGGGGGACCTAAACGTAACGTACCTAACACCTCGTGGGTGTATCAATACATCGACGATAATTCGAGGTGGTAGGTGATTCAGCGAGGGAGTAGTTCAGGTTGTTGAGCGATTTCAGTCAAGTCAGTCAGAATTATTCATGAATTTTGGTTCAGTATTTCTGCTCTATCCAACGGGAGGGAAATGGGCGTTTCCAGCTGCTCAATTTCCCGAATAAAAGTGCTACAATGTGTAATTGGCTACTCTGTTACGATCTCTGCGGCGAATACCGTATTTTAAGGAAGAATGAAATTTGTATTTCATGAGAATCTGGGTTTAGAAATGGAAACTTCCCATGCACCCTTGGTGAAATGTCCACTAAGATATTTTTCATCTTATTCTTGAGTTTTTTCCTGAAGCAATAAGCGAAACTGGATTTCCAAGAGTCCAGTGGCTTTCTTATCTCAGGTTCCAAAGAAAAAGGGATTTGCTGCAGTTCGAAAAAGTTCATTCGGAAGACGAAATTGGTCGAGTTATCAATAAGCAAGGACTGCAGTATGCAGCCAGTTCTTTCGCGCTTAGCGTTGCGTTCACGCACACAACGCGATCGAGGAATCATTTTCAAGCTTGCTCACCTTGAATGACACGGAACACGAGTTGCATCCGAAAAAATATATAAAGAGTAGTCCTAGGCATCGGTCATACTTGAAAGCTTAATTCATTGAGAATAGATGTGCTAGAAATATCAAGAAAATTCATTATAGTAGTCATCGGCATATCACTTGAGACCATGTGTGCACGCACAGTAACATCTTGAGTCTTTATTTACATTTACTCAAGTAGCACATGAACGTTCTCGAAAATGTTCAACCTGCGTTTTTGAGGTTTTGGGATGTTCATTGTTCACGGATGAGCAGCTTTTGGGCACTCATTTAAGGTGATCACCAACTATTATTCATGACATTTATGAAGGACGTTAGTTGAACGCTAAATGGAACACTTTCTTGAAACACATCTGTGCTACTAGGTTGGGGCATCGGGCAAGCCATCTGGCAGTCGCTTGAGCAAACTCGGTTCGCCACAACCGAAACGAGATGACGCCTTAGTGACGGATATATAGCGCATCAATGCCTGATAAAGCTGGAATCAGTCCCCAACACTTCATATACGGTACCCGATCTTTCCCCACAAGACACCTTTGGGGGAAGCCATTCGTCTTAAGAGGTAACCCAGTCCAAGGAGTCTCCAAGAAACGCTGGCTAGAACGATGGAAGGAGGACGGTTCAACGTATAAGCTGACTCTATGAGAAGCCCACATGAGTAGCTCATCATGGTGCATATCATCGATTTCATGGAGAATCGTGTGCAGGGCGTGACTAACTTCTCCAGAGGAAATAGGCCCGGATGTGATGAAAGATTCCATCCTTAGGGTCTATTCAGGCACGTAACTCCCGAGCGGAAAAAGAGTTGCTACGCTGACAGTAATATCTGGAAGAGTTCTGTTTCTGCAAATGAAGTTGAAATCCCGCAAAGAGACAGAAAGGATGATTGAGAATACTACCTTCCTCCACGAGGAAAGGTAGTACTCCCAATCAGACTTAGAGAGACTCGGTTGCATGATGCCCACGCGCGGAAACAGGGCTATAGTTGTACTTAAACAATTTACATGGTGAAGAAATCGTTTTCGAGGATATTCATTGTGTTGGCTGAATGCTAAAAGACGATATTTTTCGAACGTTTTGGTGCTGCTTGGGAAAATTAAATTCACGTCCTTTATGAACATTCTTGGATACTCAATTTCGGACATTTGAACAGTCAACAGAACGTTTCTGAGGACGTTCGTTGGCTGTACCTGAAATTGGACATGCGATGAAAATTCCTTGAACTTGCTACTTGAGTAGGCACGAAGTGCGTAACGATTGTATAACCCCGACTAAGAACAGCAACCAACGTGCGAATCTTTGAAGGAATCTAGGAGGAAGTATTTTGCAGAATTATCGCAAATACTTGGCAAAGTCGTATCACTCATCGGTACATTTAATTTTCCAATAAAGTTTTTCGATGACTGTTTATTCAGAGTTTGGAGGATCTAGCTGTGCGCGTGAAGCTCTCGCAGATCCGCAATCTGTTGAGATGGAACGAAATGAAGTCTGCACATTAGGCTTTTCCAGCAATGCTGTAACAATGGAAGAACCACCTCCTATGTTGTGAAGGCCTAGAGCAGGGCTTCCCAAGCTTTGTCACGCGTGACCCCAAAAATCACCATCACACCATTCAGGACCCCAAGCACTGGCCGATGTTCGACAGGCTCCCCTACCTAGGTACTAAATTCGGAAGAAAAACATCTTGGCATTTAGTTGTTTCGCGACCCAAATATGATCTTCGCGACCCCTTGGTTGGGATGCCCTGGTCAAGAAGTACGGAGGTGGATCAATGTGACCGGTTAGTTTTAGTACTAAAATGGGTCTGACAAAAGAGGCAATATTTAATTTAATTTAATTTTTATTTTAATAATAAGTGCATTCCGTTCATTTGTTTATACTACAGGGTGTGCAGAAAATGACGCTTTACGGGTAACCTGCCTTTTTTAATTTATAGATATAATTTTAGGATATGGTCAAGTAAAATCAGGAACCACGAGACGCTGACGATTTCGTTCTACAATATATATATATTTTTTAATTTGCTTATGAAAGAGTGGTATGGAGTCTTTGAAAAAAGAAAAGCTAGTGAGTCATGGAGTGGTTCTTTTAAAGGAAATCTGTTATCGGCGTGCAAAAGAAAATTTCGAAGAATTTCATGACTGCGCAGCCGCACCTTCCAAGAGCAAAATCGAGAAGTTTATTGAGAAATTCCACGAAATTAGTTCGATGCAACACCTGCCAAAAGCAGGTTGATCAGGTCTCTGGAAGGTTACAAGTTAACGGAGACTGCAACTGAGGCCTGCAATTCCAGAATCCATGTTCACGAATAACAGGTTTCGCTTCAACCCCCGCGGAATTCCTCGCTCAACCTCTTGATTGTTGGACGATGCAGCTGCACGGTCGTGAAATTATTTGATTTTTTTTTTGCACATCGACATCGGATTTCGTTTCAAAAAGCCACAATTTTCACTCTTTTTTCGACTGGATACCACTCTTTCGAAAATAAATTTTCAAAAAATCTTATGAATAACTTGGAATAAACTAATAATAAATTAGGTGCCAGTGCCAATGAACTGATAATTTTCCCATATCCAAAAATTATTTTCTCTCAGTCGAAGAACTAAGGTAAGTTGTCTATGGAGAGTCACATTCTGTACACCCTGTAGTTGCTAGATTTAAAGAATCGATGATGAGACATTTAACATCGTCTTGAGAAGCCGAAAGTGACCCGACGTACTTTCATCTAAATGAATAATTTCGAATAAATGAGAATCACCGAGCAGGTTTTTTCTCCTGAGCCTAGTGACGAAATTTACCGCAAATTACCTCTTTTCACCCTCTAAGGTATCAGCCCAAGCACGCTAGATTTCCTTTTATAGATCGTTCTATGAATGTATCTGGGCAGTTCAATTTGCAGTTCAATGCACTCTCCAGCCCGCGAATTGCATCGATGAGTTGAAGCTCCGTTTCCATCCAAGTTAATGACCTCCGATGCCGAGTGCGACTCCGTGATGCGTTATCGGAACGGGCCTGCACTTCCGATGCACCACAAGTATGAGTTAACTTGAGTGTGCTATGAATTTGGTCTCCTCATGATGCAGTTCGTGGTGTCATTCCGTCGAGAAGAAACGTTCGACGTACGCAATTCGATATAATTGTCTCCTGCTATTGCACAGGGTACCCTTTAATTGACTCCACCGTCGAACTAAAGCAACGTTTCAACCAATTGAGGATCTCCACACTTCAGCATATGAACGATGTCATTGTTCATGATCCTGAAACTCGTTCAAGGCCAATAAATCTAAAAACTCGTAAAAACCTGCGGAGTCCACTAATCTTTATAAGACTTGTCCCAGGTCATGCAAAACAGTAGGAAAGCAAATTATTCGTAGTGAGTGGTGGAAAGCCATGCTTTCTCGTAGGACAGATGTAAGGAAAAAAAGCGGCATCTCCCGTGCTCAAAGGATTTTTCAGGACACCCTGTGTAGAGTCCATCATTCAGGGAAGGGCATTAATTTTCCCCACGTGAAAGATAAGTGGGAAGGCGGCGACCGGTTTTTAATCCCGGATGACCTGAATGGCAAAACGAGCGGATGTCTCTTCTCTGCGGCAAAGGCGGGCGGCAAAAGGTAGAGCTTTCCAGCTAGGGCATTTCATTTTCTGCTAGGTTGAGAGTCCATGCAAAAGGAAGGCGTTGTCGGTGTTGGGTGACCGCAGGGAAAGAGAGGGGGAGAGAAAGAGAGGAGAGAAGAGACGAGAGAGAGATCGATGCCGGTCCTTTGCCTTTGCTCCCCTATCCGCTTCCGTGCAAGCAAGGGGCTCCCCGAACGGGCCGGCCTGTCCCGTGAGTGAAGACTCATCAGCCAACCACCACTCAATGTAAAAAGGCGACCCGCAAGGGAGAGGGAAGAGAGAGAGAGAGAGAGAGAGAGAGGGAGCGGGAGGATAGGGTATAGGATAGGATGGCATGGCATGGCATGGGTAGCTGTTGCTCAGCACAGCACGGCACATAGGGGATTGCCTCCTTGCTTGGCTGCGTGGCTCGCCCAGGCCTTCAGAAGTGTCAGACAGGGGGGCCTGCCTCTTTCCGCCCTGACGCAATCTACTGGCTTCCGCGCGCTCTTTTCTCATCAGTGCTCCTCCACCTCACAATGCGCTCCCGTGCCTGGTCATCATGAAGCCCCAAGATAAGGTTCCGTCTCGGCGTAAGGGGCCCCGGTCTCTGTTGGGGACGAAGAACTTGGAAACCCATAAGGCCATGTGTGAAAAATATCAACCGTGGGCCAAAAGTAATTATGGGGACACGACAAAGGCAAAAACGATCACTCGACGGAAGGAGACACGAATCCGCAGAATTCTCACGGGTATCGACAAAGGAAGTGAGAATGGCAAGTTCAGGGTGTGGGTGCGTTCCAAAGGATTCCACATTGGGCTACCTGGAGATGGTCCCACGCCAGACGACGCGCTCTACGTCCCGGCCTCGCCTAACAAGGTCAGTTCCCAAATCCACCTGGTCTTTTGCTTTGTCATGAATTCTACTGCAAGTGAAGAAAGTATAGGAAATGCGGATCTTCAAACCACCGGGTGCTTTTTAAAATATTTAAATCGTCATACTAGACTCATGGTCAGTCTAGACTCTAGAGGTTGGAAATTATAGGAAAAGGATGGAATTCATCTGTGGTCCTCGTCTCTTATTACACTTTCTTAATCATAAAATGTAGCTATTTGTCCCCAAGTTGGAATTGGTATGTGAGACATGTAGCGCGAGGCGTCTGCCGCTAAGAAGAAAGCAGCCAGGTGGAAATGCGTGACCTCCGTCTTACGGCGTGTCCCCATCCGTCCGTCCGTCCATCCGCCTGTCTCGTCTCGCCTCGCCTCGTCTTGCCTTGCCCTATTAATTCAACGATATCCAGACTGAGACTGTCTGAGAGAGCTGGTTCCTCCGGATGAGCCTGGGCCATGGGGGGGCGGAGAGGAGAGGAATCAATCAACCTCCCCTAGCAGAGAGTGTGGGAGTGCAGCGGATGGATGTAGAGGAGAAAAGCGAGGTGACGTATAGAGCAGACGGCCGAGACGAAGGAGGGGGAGCCGAGCCCGAGAGACCCCAGCGACGAAATAACCTCCTCGGCTCTCTTTCTCTCTTTAGTAGAGAGGAGCTGGAGCCTTGTCCCGGGCCGGCGAGAGATTAGGGGGGAAGGCTGGGGATGTGGCTGTCATTCCTTGCCTTGCCTTTCTTCTCTCCTGAGCCCATCCCTTCTCTGGGCAAGCCGACCTCGAAGGCAAGACGCAAGGAGAAGCAGAGAGCTCTATCTCCTGTTCCTCCCTCCTCTCCACTCCCCCGCCTTATTCGATAAAGCTTGGGGGCGCAGAGAAACGCTTCCGCGATCCCCCCCCTCTCATACCCGCAGATCACCCCCTCTCCCCTAATTACCCAGGATCTGTCATGCCGCCCTGAGCTAGCTTGTCGCCACTCCACCTATCCCGGAAGTTTCCGGTCAATATCTCCCCCCCCCCCCCTCCATCATAGAGGGCATCTAATCATACGAGTGAACTCTTCTGCCGCCTTCACTCAGAGCTACAGCTGCCGCTATCCTCCCTCAGCCCCTCGTGTATATGGCCAACGAGCGTCGGGGAAAGAAGTCGTGACCCTCATCACGTCGGCGGATCAATGGGGCAGATGGTTGCGATTTTGCAGATACGAACGGGTCGTGTGGGGGCGCGATTACCCATTTCTGTCCCGTGTTTTCCAAGAGTAGCAGATCGTATTCCCTGCTACCATTGATTATCATTTCTTTCATGCAGTATCAATGATAGGTCGGATTCTAATGAGGGCATTATTGTTTGTGCAGGATTATCCAAATGGACCAGTCCAATACAAGAAAGTGGCAGTTGTAGAGGAATTTTTCGAAATCATTTACAATATCCACGTTGAGATTGAAGGAAGACATGGAAAGCATGCCGGACAGAAAAGGACCTACAAAGCGGTAAGTTAATTATGCATTCTACCTTTATTTACATGCATTGATGGGGAATCATGCCCACAAGTGACGACCTGTCGAAGCCGATGGGATATTTTTTTTTTAGGGCAATGCAGTGTCGTTTGATTGGTGTCGTAATCAGTAGCTACCTTCGTGAGACGCTCCGAGCGTGGCATGGCTTTGTGTCGAGGTTACTCCAATGTCCTTGGATTTCTCTCCCATGCAGGTGTCGGAACAATACGCTTTCCTGCCTCGAGAAGCCGTGACCAAGTTCCTTGCGATGTGCATGGATTGCCGAAGGAAACGATCGGGGAAAAGCTCCGAGGATTCTTCCACACCTAACTCTGTATCTCCCGAACATTATGCGGTGGACGTGAACCGAAATGAGTTGGATTTCAGCATCCCTATCACAAGTGCTTATTTGAAGCAGGCTGGGAACCACCACGTACCTGATACGGACGTAAGTGTGACCTTCAGAGATGTGATATTGAAGAGAGGAGGGTGTAAATCTCGGTGGACTTTCGGTTTTGGAGTAGGGTAACCTCAGCTGAGTTATAGCGAGTGAGAGAGGAATTAGGAGAGGATGGCTGTAATGTAATCTCTGGCTCCTTGTGGCGTGGATATTATATATGAAGGAGAGGAGAGGAAAGGAAAAGGAGGGCCAGGGCATCCTACTGCATATGCCGACAGGGGCTGGCAGGGCAACCTAGTTCGATCTGCCCTCCTCCTATATCTATATGCCACTACACCATGGGGGGGAGGAGGGAGGGGGGGGGGGAGAATGGAAAGAGGAGGAGGAGGAGGAGATGAGGAGGGGGGGGGGAAAGAGACCGAGCCAGCTTTGTGGGGGCAGTGACTGCTCGTTGTCTCCTGCTTCTCCTTTCCCTCTTCATCCTGAAGAGAAAGCGATGAAGGACAAAGAGGACCGTCCTGCCCAGACGCATACTTAACGGGGCGAGGGAAAGAAGCATATCGGCACAAAACAGAATAAGAATCCAGCGGAGCACGCCCCTCAAAGCAATGAAGCTAGCCTTTGGGGTGTAACCGCCTGCGAAAACGTGCGACATTCCGTCTACAGTTCCATGCCCTCCTGAGAAGTGGTTTTCGCTCGATTTTTACTCAGACCTCGCTGCATCCTCATGCAGTTCTCACATACGTATGCAAGAGGAAAAGAATGAAAAAGTCTCTATGGAGTTAGAATTCATACCTGACTTAAGGGTATCTTTTTCATGATATTGTGACGGATGAGGATGGCATCGAGAGGCACGACTGAATGTCCCGGGTTCGGTGGTGTAGTGGTAGCACACCTGACCGGCAAGCAGGAGGCCCGGGTTCAATTCCCGGCCGTTCCTTTACACCTGACCGGCAAGCAGGAGGCCCGGGTACAATTCCCGGCCGTTCCTTGGCTTCTTTCGTCCTCTCATGCCTTCCGTCGTCCGTCTCCCCATTTCCCCTCCGTAACATGATGGTAATCTGGACATATACTCATGAACGTGTCTAAATTAAAACGTAAGGAATTCATAAATATAATGATGAAGACAATGGTTCGTCAGTGCCTTCAAACTTAAACGACTTCATGGGTATTGGTTTTAGCGACTAGTTATGCATTTTTTTTAACGTTTCCTTTATGAAACTGCACTGTCAAGTGTAGCTTCTCCGTATCAGTATTTTAATTTCGTTTTGCTGGCCATTCTAGCGCGTGAGCATCATCTCACTAATTCCTAGTGGGAAAAAATCAGCAATTGTGTCCTCATCCCTGATTTCCTGGTTACGTGGGAGAGCGATAGCCTGTGAAATGCCAAGAAGTATGACGGGAGAGAACAGTATTGTGATTGCTTTTCTAACTGATAGTGATGTCTATGAAAATGAGTGCAAACTCATATTATCATGTGACGTGAGAGTGAAATCTCGAAGAATCTTCTCGGGACGGCAGAGGATGCTTCGGAATCCCTTATGTCTTAGCAGGCGATTCTCTCGGAAGCCTCGTTTCCTTGCTTTTGGGGCCATGATCCTCCACGATTCTTACTCCGTTTTGACCGAAGGGTTTCGAGCGTCTTGTGCCTCGTTCGCTCAGAAATAAGAATTCAGTACATGCGAACTGTAACAAAAATTCCATCAAGTCGAAGTTCACAGTGTCGCATTAGCCGAGATCAATCCAATGTTTCACGCTCTAAAGTTCCATATAGATTTTCTCTGTGAGATACTATTCATTTCACTCGCTATTGGTACTTGTTTAAACATTTCTTCAGATTAATTTAGTACTTCACTGAAAGGTCTTTTCCGTAATGCCAGGACTGAGTGCTTGCGACTCAGAACAGGGACACAACCATGGCGGAAAGTACGTCGATGCCTCATTTGTCGAAATCGGATCCATTAGTTTTGCTACAAGGCTGCCTGTTGAGTTATTAATCGCTATAATTTTATTCTCCAGAAGTATGAGTGCTTCTAGAAGAATTGATTCAAAAATTTTAGATTTATTGCAGAAAAAAATCATTTTTTCCAAGAAAAAAGGTCAGAACAATGGGGACAATTTCCGGGTCACTTCTGGGCTCCATCATATTAGTGGTGGCATATAGTGAGAGATGTGGCTCTTGACTGTCATCTGCAATAGACCACACGATTAGTTCAGCCATCAACACCGAAACGTAAAAAAAGAACAGACGAAATTGGCCTTCCTCAATCGTTGATAGTTCTTCCCTTTAATTAAAAAATACCAATCTTCGTGTTTCTCGTGGCTTCTCGATCGGCAAATGCATCATTTCAGACCAAAACCTGAAATGTTATTTTGAGCGTTCACGACTCCCTCCCCCGTTAAACCTCTTTTTGGGGTCTGGGATGGCTATGTCGATTAACTGCTGTGACGTACGCAAGGGAGGGCTGAGGGGGCTCGGGTCCCCTTCCCCCCCTTCCTCCCCCTTCCCCCCCGTCACCCCTCTTCCCCCCTTCATCCCTCTTTCCCCCTCCACCCCTCTTTCCCCTCTTCTCCCTTCTTACCCCCTCTTCCTCGCCCCGCTCCCCCTTGGCCCGTCGATAGAAAACTGTCATCATTCCAGCTCCTGTTCTGAGAGCACAACTGAAGCCGCCGGGAGAGGGAAGTGACCAAAGTACATGAAATGATGTAGCTTAGGGCTAATGAAAAGGAGACGTGCTCGCAGGATGCCCTCTTAAACACCCTATTGACGCATAATGGAATGAGGTGGAACCAAAGGCCTATGCTTCCCCTCCATCCGTGAAAGTATTGACTTCTGCAGAAGACTGAAGCGACCTCGATTCCAACTATCGAGCGGCGATGTCATAGCAAGTTTTGCAAATGTGTTCCGAAGATCTGTTAGAGGGAAATATAAAAAAGAAGACCTGGTGCACGGCTCTACTTTTTTTTTTACCCCTTTAATAGTAACTGTCAACGCCACCTGTAGTGAGCTGCGGAAGAGAATAGAAGCACGCGCAGCCCATAGGAAATTAGGCACCGTGAACAATGTCCCATCGATTATCTGGTTTCACAGGCTTCATGAACAGCTTCGCACATTGGATGTGCCAATCATTGGAGAGAGTTATCCTCTAATTTTTACCCTGACAGTATTTATGGAAGGATGACGCTCTCAGAGTATGAATAAGAAGGCCTTGGGTATTGTTTAAGCTCATCTTGAAGTAATTTATTTGGAATGCGTTATTTTTCCCATTAAATTCCCACATACGTGGAATCTGGCATATTTAGCCAAAAGCTCCTGCTGACTAAACTTGAAAGTGAGAGGATTTCCTTTCCATCTGATCTGCTACTGGCTGCTCCTTGGCTATATCTCGTAACGGCTATCACCATATCCCGAAACCCATTTGGGACCGTCTTGCAACCTAGTGGATTTTTTTCACCGAAACGTCTATTTCTCGAGCGTCTAGATTACCGAAAGAACGAATGCCGAGATCACATCTTGCAGAATAGTATTTCATATTGACGAATTTTCATACTAAGAAAATCATAAAAAAGACACGAAAGTCACGTTGCCTAACTGACCTTTTCCGCATTAGATTCACGTTCTCCGATGAGCAAATTCATAATCGGAAATTATATTAAGCGTCAAGATATGATGTTGCCTGCGATTTCGCGAAGGGAAGGCAATGAGGTCACAGGACAGAAAAATCAAACCACCTCTAGAACTTCGATTTCGTGCCATTTCGTATCTTCAATGTTTTTAGTGATTGTTGGTGTTACCCAACATACTCTTGGTCCGAGTGTTTTTCACGGGCTTGGAGGGGGGGTTGAGGGCAGTACTCCCTCAATAATCTTTATGATATGTACTTTTTTTTTTACATAGTGTATTTCCCATGTATCAGTTCGCTTATCTTTCTTCTGAAGAAGGATCCAATGATTCATGACCGCGGACGCTTTTAAAGGACAGTAGGCGCAGAGGTGAAGGCAGACAGGTACTCCTCTAAAAGCTTGGGGGGTCGCCTGTCAGCGAAGAGTCCGCCATTTCTCAGTCCATTCCCGATCTCCCGGGTGCCAGAGGGAAAACTGGACGACTCGGTCACTGAACCTTGTCTCGTTAGCTTCCCGCATTTTCCGTGGTGCAATGTATGGGTGGGGGAGGTCCAGATGCCCCACTTCAATGAAATGAAATTTCGGGGGGAAAGTGCTTACGGGCACCAGGAGAATTGAGTGGACAAAATTCACAAAAAATGCCTCTCAAGACGCTTTCAAGATTTCACCTTAGTACTAAACCCCCTTCCTTACTAAAATCCTGCGTGCGCAAGTGATTAACTGTAGCAAAGTTTTTATTACTTTTCATAGTCTATTAAGATATCCATCTAGGACAGCAGTCCATTTTGGGGATCAAAGGATATATTTGTTAAGCTGCTTTTTTTCCCTTGAGATATGATCTTGTAGAAGCTCTGCCCTTTTTTTTTCGGGTCGATTAAATTGCAGTCCTTACCAATGATAAGTTCTTTTCGGCACTTTCAATATTTTTTCTTCCGTAGATCCCCCCGAAAATACCCTTGCGCTGAATTCTAGTCAAGACATACCTTACCTCTAATACACCATTCCAAAGAAAAAATTGAGCTCCCCGAGCTTGAGTGGATATTGTCCTCTCCTTCCTCGTTCAATGCTTGAAATTCCGGGCACCTATCACGACGATTTCCTTATGGTTGAAAGGTCTCGTTAGTTCCCCTTGATTTAGGATATAATGCATGACGACTCATTTACGAGTTTCGATAGGGCGATTGAGGAAAGATGAAAGGGATTGTTCCGTCCGCAACCTCTCCACCGCTAAGGTTTTTTTTTTTGGAATGGTGCATTATTTCTGTAGCTTACTTTATTTGAAGTATTTTTTAGTGCTTGAAATACTGAAAGCTCAGTACTCAAGACTCGAAAATCACACACCCTAGAACGAAGTGGCTCCATCGATGCGCCTCCTTTTTCGACACCGGCACTGATTTTTCTACAGAATAATTGTTCGATCGACAGAGCAGGAACAGATAGAATTTTATCCCAAATCGAGTACTTTGAGATCTCTTTACATACGGGACAGGTGCGAATGAAACTTGATATGTTGAGATGCCTCGAAGAAAGAAGGACCTGTGTGGCTCCTGCGTGAGCGTGAACGTATATCGTGAGGGCAGGGGTTTCTATGGGTGAGGTTTATGAATAAGCCATGATACCATTAGGCACTATCGTGCTCTTTTATCTCCCATTCGGTTAGCATCTGCTCAGTCCCTTATTCATTTGTGCATTGATTGATTCATTGATAACAGGGCTCGTTCGAAGGAGATGAGCTGAGAGGGAGCGAGGGGGAGGGAGGAGAGGAGGGAGAGGGAGAGTGTCCTAGGTCCCCAGGTGACGTGAGAGGGGCGCTCGATCTGAGTAGATCAGGCTCCGGCCCGTGCAGAGACTTCACCACTTCCCCTCGCGCCCGCACTTCCACCAGCATTCGATTATCCCCCATCAACATGCTGAACGGGAAAGAGTCCCCACTGCCTGTAGGCTCTCACATCGTTGACGAATGGCAGGAGTTATTGGCACGAACGAGGGAATATATCTCGCTTGATGTCTTGCAGATTGGGGGTCAAATGGCATCATCGCCGGCTCGTTCTGAAGGAAGTTGCTCCCTCGTTTCGGGTCCGTGTGCGGACGCAGATGTGATATTCCCGGCTCCGAGAGAGTCTGATTGCCTCTCATCCATGTCCCAGATGGAGAACATGCAGAGACGCAAGACTTTCGGGGTGAGTGCACACAGGCAGAACTCGAGATTCTTCCTCGTTAAAGACGTCATTCTTATAAATATAAGGTTTCACTATGTTCCGGCAGGCGTACGTGAGAAAGATCGTCGACGAGAGTTTGGATCGAATGCTCCCGATATCCAGGCAGCCGCCGGAGAAGATAAATGTCCTAGTGGAGCAGTGCCAACAGTTGTATCCCGAGTTCATCCATGAAGCTCGGAACCGAATTCGCTCCTATCTCAAGTCGTGTCGAAGGAACAAGAAAATCCGAGAGCTCGAACATGTGAGGGTCTCCTCTCGAAGGAATACATTTGAGACTCCTGCGATGGTGAATTCCATGCATTTTTCATTTCCAGATCCAGACTAACGTTGTGGGGGCCGACGAACCGGCGTCGACGACAAGCAGTAAGAGGAAACTAGTAGGAGACGATGGGAAAGGGAAAGGGGCGAGGAAAGTGAAGGTGGAAGAAGAGCGAGATGCCGACAAGCCCTCCCCTGTAATTCATTCCCTCGACAAAAAGGAAGGTGAGTTGCCACCGAATCCCAGATGGATCGTCGGCTGTAGGCAGCCTGCCTATACAGAGCTATCTGGTGGTTGCTAGCAGAGATGGATGTTGACGGCGAGGGCAAGGGCGAGAGAGGGCGTGGTCGACTGGACAGTCTCACCCCAGCGGAAAAGGCTCACCTGGAACAGATCATCTCCTGCTATCGCCAATCCGCCGCTTATCTCCTCAGCAGTGCTAACAGACTCGAGGGACTCATTCAGTCTTGACCGTGTGGGACTGGGTCTTTCTTAACGCTTCTCTCCCTCCCTATTTATTTTTTTCTCTCCCACCCAAGATGTCCATGGAGTGAAATGAAATGCAGTCAGGAAAGTTTTCGTCTAATTACAGACTTTTCTTGCTTCATTTCTGATTCTTTTAAGTTTCACGCAGAGAACAGAGCAGGGAACGTGCTTGTCAATACTTTTTTTTTCCCGAATCGTTCCAGAGAAATATCCATGTCTGTGATTATCTTGTTCCCTTATCCTTAACGCAAAACCACTTCTCACCGGCTTATACATGGTGCCTAGAAAATGTTCTCATGTCACAATACAACACAAAAAAACAGTAAGAAGTTTGAAATCCCAAATATTTTGAGGAAGGAATTGTCAGTATGGCTCATTTTATGATGCACTCTTTGGACCTTTCTGAATAGTGACAGAATGGTTACATATTAGGACGGTAGCTAATAAAGAGGGTGCCTATTTCCTAATGATGGAGTTTCCACATAGTCAATTAAAGTCATCTCAGCTGGTCGCTTCCTCACTCCAGATTGGTACTTAGTAAGCTTTAATCCTCAGAATTTGAAGGTTTTTTTGTGTCCGATCGCTTAGGATGGGATTGACTTTCGTTATGAGCGCAATTGTTGCAGCGATTTGAACTAAAATCCATCGCTCTCGAGTCAAAGGGAAAGGGACGGAACGGAAACTAAAGTATCGATCCGATTCTACTGAGCCAGCTAAGTCTGCCACGTGCAGTCGCCTGACGAGGTAGGGATAGATGGGGTGGGGGGGGAAGGACGAGGAATCACCGATTGAGCTCAACGACAGAAGGGATGAAAGGAAGAATGGTCCATCTGCAAAAATGTCTGATGGAAAGTGTAATTCGTTAAGTGCAAACCCTTCTTTAATCGGAGATGGTAGTTCTGGGGATTAACGTGTGAAAAACTGGTGTATCTACGCATTCCAATTTTCCTCACTTATAAGGTGAGCCACTAATATTCACTCTTTTCGTATGGAGCTCGAAAAATTGATTTTTTGCAGATCGAACTATTTTCATTCCAGCCCTTAAATTCCTCCGAACCTGTCTTAGGATCCATGGAAGTAACTGGCTCGCTATATAAAGAAAAACGAAACTAATCGCATTCCATTCTGCCAAGTGAATCCAAACTGAAACGAAGCTGGAATCTTGAAACTTTGTTGAAACGTTTCCGTTTAATTTCATGTTTCTGGTATCCACTCAATGATGTCGATTATTTAAACGAGTACGACTATCTACCCGCGTGGTCAAGTCCACGTTGCAAACGTTCAGTGGGTTTAGATCAAGTGTTACGATTTTTAATTATGAAACAGGTTATCTTGTCCTGGTACATCAGACAAAGGGTTTAAGGACTTCCCATTGATTCGATAGGAAAAAACACATGGAAGGGGGTCATTGGCAGAATTGCACGACTTCGTGACTCGTCTGTATAGCCCTGCTCAAAAACTTTTTCCTTTTCTCCTTTTCTTGTATTTTTTTGTTGTTGCAGGAGTACAGTCGGCCGAAGTAAACTTCTGGAACTGGTTTCCTGCCTCACTGTATGTGAGGAAGTGTCATGCGGTATGCGGAAGTGCCGAAAAAAGTTTTTGACCAGACCTATACTACTACTACTACTACTACCATCGCCACCACAACAGAAATGGGTTGAGCGACGTCATGATCATTCATGACGCAATGATCGTCTTGATTGGCGGAACCAAAGTTCACGTCCACGTCAGTTCTTTTGAATTTACTTTTTGCTCGCTTTCCTCCGCTTTGCCATTGCGTCACCGAAGGACAAGATTTCATTTTGAATTGCCAATCGCATAGCGCGGCATCACTTCGACGTACGCCTCATACAATCTTCCACATAAGTCAGGTATTTTGGAAGCCACCTTAATGAGCTCCTGCTCCAGGGCGACAGCAGAGATGGCTTTAATAGCTTCTCTTGCTCTTGAAGGACCTCCAGGCGGAAGGGGCGCCCGAGATAAAAGGGTACCCGCGTAATGCATGCCTGTAGGGTTGTGACATTTGTTTTGAAAAAGGTTTTACGGTAGCTGAAACATCTTCAGAGATGCGGACGAAGAGGAAACAACGGACTAAGAAAATACGAAGAACAGGATAAGAGATCCTGTACCAATGGTTAAGGCTAACATGAATTGGGATCATGACTTTCTAAATGGATCGATGGCCTCTAATTGGGCATTTTAATTTTCACGGACCGTTTCAGGTGTGTTTGGTTGCCCCATCCAAAGAATATGCCAAGCACAGAATGACTAAGCGTGGCATTTGATGTAAATTAGGTTCATCTTTCGTGTAGTTTAACGATGCAACCTCTAAATGCTTTCATTACATGCATACAACGTACGATAAATCTTCCCGTGATGGTGCCTAGGATATAAGATATACATCTGACTAAAAAAATTTACGCAACCATTTTCAACTCGTTAGTGCCCTAAATAAGTTCCATCGCATCCAACGCAACCCCGATCAGCAAACGAACTGACCGACTCTCCCAACCTACTATTGAAATCCAGAATCTCGTTCTGGCTAATGCGACGAACTCTTGCCGGATACGGCGAAACCGCTGAATATGGTTGGCTTTAATCTTCGTCAAACGGAAGCTTACCGAACAAACATATCTCGGGCCCTTAAATCCAACCATCCGGCTTCGCCCTACCACGCAAAACCCGGACCGCCCTAAATAGACTTCGAACATCCTACGATCGATGCAATTATCTCCTCCATAAATGGAAGATGGAAGCAGGGACTGTGGCTCCAATCAATTATGAACCATCTCACTCATTCCTGCTCAAAACGCCCTCGTTCACGAAGGGGTCACATATGCACAAAACTAGAAGCCATCAGTTGGATAGCCAATCTGGAAAACCGTTTAACGGCATCGCCACTTGAACAACCATAGGGAGACTCGCTAAGATTATCACTGAAAATATTTATTTCGACAACAGTTCATCCATGGTATCATGCACCAACGGGAGTTTTCAAAATAACGTACTTGTCAGACGTACAAAGCAGTTGCTAGGCCCTTTTTGTCACGACAATTAGACATTATATCCACATCATGACACGTTTTCCCTTTGTTCTCAACGTTAGAATGTCTGCAAATGTCTTCGGAGCGGGAAATCTGCAAGTACAAGACGTTTTCTTCTGCGTGTCGACAGAAAAAATGTTCAAGAGGGTATTTTCCTGGACTTGAAGGGGCCAAACATCGTTTGTTTGGTCATAAGTTAAATCCTTCATCTTCCAACGTTGAAACCAGGGTGTACAGGGTGTGCCATAAGTCATACAATTATAAATCAGTTACTCAACAGTTGGCACAAAAAAGTAGTAACTTTAACTGATAGTTGACATGCTTTATAAAAAAAATGGAGACAACTGTGTTTCGAAAGATTCTCAAAATGACCTCCGTCGTCATCAATACATTTGGAATGAGGCTTGACACCATAATATTGCCTAAACTCCCTCTGAACTCTGACGGATCTGTCTGGATTTAGGAGAGAAAAGCAAAAATTCGAAAGTTTGAAAGGATTGGGAAAAGGACACCTTTCTAATATGCACTCGAAGCAATTTCGGTTCGAGACCGATACTTAGTCATTATGGTGAATAAAATCTAAAAAATGTTCGTTCCTTCCATCAATGCTAACAGTGACCTGCTTGTCGAGGTTGAAAGATATTGTTTGAAAATGGTATAGTGACTTATGGGACACCCTGTAGTTGTCCTCGTTTGGAGGGGATTTATTGAGTCAATCCAGTCTTCCTGGAGGAGAGAGGTACTGCATGGAAGGTAATGGGAATTCCATCCCATTATTTTGGAGAAGCCAGTTTCAGTAATTAAGGTGCCGCCCGCTTCAGTTGTGAAGGAGCGAAGATGGACTTCTGTTTTAGCAACGTTAAAGCAAATGATCTGAAGTCGAGGCGCCAGAATGGCGATTGGATGAAATAAGATTCCCCCAAAGGGTATCCGTGCTGATTAGCTAACCTCTTAACTGTTAAAGGATGAACAAAGAATTTACTAGTCAATGACATGCATGGTGTCTGTATGCATGATGCTCAGGGGTCGTACTCTATATGAAAGTTCCTTCTTAGCAAGATGCTTAGCTAGCATTTGCCCCAATCAAATGTGTTGGGAGGTTGAGCAACTTGCTACTTAGTTAATACTGCCACAGGACTACAACGTATAGTTTTGAGAATGAAACGGAAGAACGCAGAAGTACTTGAAGTTGAAGCAGGTCTTTATTTTTCATTAACTAGCGTCATTATACCCGATGACAAATGTGCCAGAATAACCAGTAAATCCATTTCTCGTAGGGCTCTCCATGTGGCTCCAATGAGTGCTCCTTGCCCAATGCTTAAGGATATAAGAACGGTTTAGACAATTCTTTCATGAAAGGGGGGGGAAGAAGGTATCTCAAGAATTGTTGATTCAGGGCAGATGCATCTTGGCCCAAAGCAAATAAGATGCTTTATCCTTATTTCCAGTAGTCCTCCGATGGCTTTCTTCCTTTGGCCCTCCCGATGGGTAACAATTCCCTAGCCCAGTCAGGGGCCTTGTGTAAAAGAAGCCTGTTGCAATTGACGCAAGTTTCGAGAAGGAACAAAACCCAGTGATTGGTTTAGATTCAGATACCATCACTGAGGTCATGTCCCCTGGCGAAGACAAGGTCAAGTTTCACGAGCATAACACAATATGTACTCAATATTAGACGAATAACAGCCATTTACCCGTCGTGCAGTACTGAGGGTAGACATACCAACTTACAACATTCGCCCAGAATGACGATTGGAGAAAATAATGGAGTATTAACACAGGTATCGCGAGGGAACATAACCCAGTGAACGCCATCAGCCAAGTCATCACTGCAGTTACGTCCCCCAACGACAACCTGGCTACACGTCTCTGGATGAAGATAACGACGAAGGAGGAACCCCAGCCTAAGGAACCCAGCCCAGTGAGGTTTCCAAAAGACGCTCGCTTGAACTAGGTCCCCCAGACCAAGAGACCATACAAACCTTCCCATGGAATGAAGAGGAAAAGCACTTACTGATGAGATGTTGCAGTGGGAGAAGCTCCGAACTTGAGGATGGAGGAGGAGGAAATGATGATGGGAATGGAAGAC